TCTGGTTTCCACCAAACAAGTCTTGAGCTTCTTTTATGCTAACAACATCATTACAACAGTAATCATGCAAAAGCTCTTTGCTTGCAGGCAGGTACAGAGTTTAGTCTGTTAGTGATCAGTGTTTTGCTATGTCAGTGTATTTTCCATTTTATAAGTCCCCTTTTCTAGATAAAACTGAGATAAAACATGATATCGCTTGTCATCAATAAAAATAGAAGAACTCACAGCAATGGGGTTACACTTTTCAGGAAAAAAAATAAACTTTTTTCACAAAATTCCATGATTTTGGAGGATTTTCATGATCTGTGAAAACCCAGATACAATTTGGTTAAGCATTGCCACTGTGAGAAGGGGGATTTTAATTATATCCCTTTGGTTTGGAAAAGGACAAAGAACCATGAAAAACTGTTTTGACATATTCAGTGTTCAAATAGCTGCCAAAGAGGGCTTGGAATATACCTCCAGACTCAGCATTTCAAATAATTTGCCATTACATCGCATGCACACGAAGTGATAAATACTAAAATGAGTACCATAGTCATCTCATACGCATCATTCTTCTAAAAGGGGATTTGTTTAATGGCTGATCTATACTCTGATTGACTAGTTCAGCAAGAATCTCCAATTGAGAGGAGTTACTAACAGCCTTCTCCCCAGTAGCTTTTCTTGCACAATTCAAAGTACCGTGGGAGATATGTCTTCAATAGGTATTCCACCAATAGCCTTTGACTTCAAAAGGAGTTCACTGTCCTGTGGTCATGATATTTCAACCAGCAATTCCCCAGATTTTAATTTCTTTATTAACTTTGAGAAGACAACAAGGACCTCTAAACCTTTCTGTTTGACCAGTGTCTGACAATGAATGTAAGATTAAAAAATTGAGATACAGACTGTAGGATATGGTGATTGTATGTGTACAGAATTATTCTTATGAGGTTGTTCAATACTTAAATTCTAGTTATTGAAGTCCATAAAAGGAAGTAAAAATTCAGTGCCCACTGCCTCCACTCCCCATATTATCACCTAGTTGACCAACATAATGACCTAGAGGGAGCTACACCAGTGTTTCCCATCCACAGAAACTTAAGGTCTAAGTAGCATGACAACAAATTTAGCTATCAGAATCCTCTCCTCCATTTCATGGGTGAACAAACAAAGTAAAAATACAGACACATGAACAAACAAAAATAAATATTCATACAATTCATGTAATGAATAAACATACTAAAACTTTACCCAAATTGTCTGAGCTCTATATTCAGTTTAAAAGCTCTTGGTACCTAGGGCAAAAATAATTTCTTACATCTGCAGGAGATGAAAACAAGAGCAAGAGTAATGATGATACCTAACAGTCAGAGCAGAGGCCTTAGTATGGTAATCCACTACATCAGCAATCATTCTGATCATACATATACACCTGGAAAAATGTTAAGCACCCCCGTGTTTTTTTCAAGTGATTCAGATTCGACGTTCTTGTGACTGATTATAAATTACCATTCAATCTAAACGTGTTTATCAAATGAAATTATGCATTATTGAGCACAAGAAAACAAGATTATCACCGTAAAATAA